GAAGGTGGTGTCGGATGTATGGACCTAAATGTGGTGTCGGATGTATGGATCTGAAGGTGGTGTCGGATGTATGGACCTGAAGGTGGTGTCGGATGTATGGATCTGAAGGTGGTGTCAAATGTATGGACCTGAAGGTGGTGTCAAATGTATGGACCTGAAGGTGGTGTCGGATGTATGGATCTGAAGGTGGTGTCAAATGTATGGACCTGAAGGTGGTGTCGGATGTATGGACCTGAAGGTGGTGTCTGATGTATGGACCTGAAGGTGGTGTCAGATGTATGGACCTGAAGGTGGTGTCGGATGTATGGATCTGAAGGTGGTGTCAAATGTATGGACCTGAGGGTGGTGTCGGATGTATGGACCAGAAGGGTGTGTCAGATATATGGATATGAAGGTGTTGTCGGATGTATGGATCTGAAGGTGGTGTCGGATGTATGGACCTGAAGGTGTTGTCGGATGTATGGACCTGAAGGTGGTGTCGGATGTATGGACCAGAAGGTGGTGTCAGATTATGAACCTACTGATGGTGACAGATGCATGCTGTAGTCACTGCCAAATTTTCAACTTGCAGCTGATTTCAAATTGACAGTAAAATATTACACACTTGTTGGCTTCAGTTCACACACTCACACACACATGCACCAAGTTCAAGCGTCCGATACCACAGACACAAATCAGTCACAGAAATGAACTAAAATATAATGTTTTCAGATACCTTAATATACCTTGCTTAGGCAACTTTGAAACAAACATACAGACCGCTATTTTCAGCACAGTTTAGTTTCTAGGTCTTCATTCCAAAAAGTCAAACCCACTTCAGTCCATGACTTCATGCATTGTTTCATATGAAAGGTGTACATCCACTGTTGCCATGTCGTACACCTGCCATTGATCTGAATCCTACTGGGATAATGTTCTAAGTAGGGCTGTGCAATATTACCGGTAAATCGGTATATACCGATACAGTATTTCGCGATACGATTTTCGCGAAATGGTTCAGATTCTGCAATATATTAGGTCATGAGTTAGCTGCCCTTTATTTCCACAGCAACAGAATATACCTTAAAAGTGCCAAATATACTTTTGTTTCTGTTTGTTTCATGTAACATTTTACAAAGGGAAGTATCTTTATAAAAGGTTCCAAAAGTGCCAATATTCAACCAAATGCTTAAAGGTTTGTGGGTTTGAATGGTTTCATATGCGACATTTTAGAGGAATGACCTCAAATGGACTAAGTTTTTATTGGACTTATTAGTAGAGCCCCTGGCTCAGAGTGTCCATTTCACAATTTCACATTATTTTGTTATTTTTGTTTGTTTCATAACGGGACATATGTTATTAATTTATCGTAAAGGCCTAAGCCTAAATTTTGTAGGACTGTATACTGACATTCTCGTCAAAGATCTTAGTTATTAGAGGTCACATGAGATTTTGAGCGCATGTAGTTCACCTAAATCATGGTATTTCTTTCATTTTGCAAAAGTTCATGTTAACTCATGTTTAAATTGGAGTTGAATCTGAATGAATCAATGACATACAGTGTCAATAATTCGCGTTTCGCGAGGGGTATTATTTTGCAAATTCGTCTTTTCTGGCGCAGAACATAAAAACCGTTCAATATTTCTTCATCAAACTTTGCACATAGGTCTGCTGGTGTACTGATGACTTTGTGTAGTTTTGGATTTCCCGAATATATATTTTTTGCATTACCATGGCAATAAGTTTTACTTTGACTGAAATTGGTGGTAGTGCTCCTTTCTGGAGCAGGACTTTAAAACCTTTTAATATTCTAATTCCACTTTGTGGGTATTCAAGAACCTAATGACATAAATCAACACTGTCAGTGTATTTCTGTATCAGCATTTCTGAGGTACATCGAACCGTGGAAGCACTCAGGCAGTCTGTTTGTTGATACAAGCATGCTAGTATATGAATAGTTTACATATGTATGTTTTAGTTACATCAATGTGAAGAACAATGTAACATTTGAAATAGGCATAACTAGTTGACATATTCTTTTGAAGCAACAACACTGACCATGAAAATCATGTTATACTGTTACCTTTATCATTATGTTCGCAAAACTTTGTTGCAGTACTTCAATCAAAAATTCAAAATTAAAGATTTATATCATTTTAATTATCTGTAAACCATAGGCATACAGCCATACACAAAGGACACTGGAGCCTGAAAAAATATTTTATGCTACAAATATTAGGCATTAGGCTTTCGTACTACGAAAGCGCATATAGATGAGTGTCCCTTTAATCAGACATTATCTGTACCCTAACGTGTCAGATTAATGTAAAAGGAAGTGAGACGTGTATTAGATAACGCCTGTCACCTGTATCACACATGCATGTACATAGGTGAGGGTACACGTCTCAGCGTGAGTGACAGTAATGTCAGTTTCCTTCCATCATGAATTATACTTTAATCCCTAGGCTGTCACATGTCCGTCAGCAAATGATACAGCCTCCGAGCGAAACAAATAATTCACAACCGAATAACATCAGAAGTTGTTTCAAGTTCTGTTTTCTTTGTTACATCTTAGGAACGAGCTGACTGGTGTCAAGTACGGAATTCAGACTGTTAACAAGTGACGCCAATTTCAGAGACCATCCCTAATTGAATTTCAAAAAAGCCATTGCACTGAAGTATTGATTTATTAGACGTCTTCCTGGTGAAGATATAATACATTAATCTCAGCCGTTATGTGGAAAACATCACAAACTCTCACACAAGATAAATCTGATAGTTTGTTTCGGGGCGTAGTAATCTTTACATGCCTGTTTGTCTGATATCAAAAACGTTAAAACATGTAAGTTATGAAAATATATTATCCTCTAAACATCACCAATATCATATGGTCTCGACACTTTCGCGTAAGGTCTTAATATTTTCAAAGCCGCTCAATCGTAAATCTATCTTGAAATAGGGGTAGAAACATAATTACGTAATCCTTATGCAATATTAAAATTCCAACGACTCCCTATGTACCACTACAAATAATTCATATTTCATTAAAGTGGGTGCGTAAGTGAGTATGGTTTTACGCCGCTTTTAGCAATATTCCAGCAATATCACGGCGGGGGACACCAGAAATGGACTTCACACATTGTACCCATGTGGAGAATCGAACCCGGGTCTTCGGCGTGACGAGCGAACGCTTTAACCACTAGGCTACCCCACCGCCCTTATTTAAATAAAGAGTTACATATACATGCTATTGTATGCGAGATACGTTTTAAAGCCTCACATGACGAGCAGTTTGGTTTCTACGGGAATGTTTAAATAGAAAATGTATAAATGTAATTTTTTGGTTGTCCAGACAGCCAAACCTTTATGAAGACTGGTGGGGCTTTTGCTGTCAAGTACATTCAAGTATGAAGTAATATTCATAATAATTCAATCGAGGGGCGGTGGGGTAGCCTAGTGGTTAAAGCGTTGGCTCGTCATCACAGTAAAGTTGCAACAATCGTGATACGACATCTAAAAACTAGTGACAAAGACGAGTAGGTGCAAGCTACTTGGATATGTGAACGGCGATGATATGAGGCACGGGGTATTCATTCAGTCGACTGAAATAGTGAGTGAGTATGGCTTAACGCCGAATCTTAGCAATATTCCACCAATATCAGGGCGGGGGACACCAGAATTGGGCTTCATACGTAATGGACGTTGATTGTCTGCGTCCAATTTCTTGTAACAGTAATAGACCCGACAGCAGTGTTCACGACGTCGAAGGGGGCATGGGTGGCCTGAGTCTCTCAAGCCTCAATTCGTTGTGCTGAGTTGTCCCCCATGGGAACGCCAGAAACCTGTCATTGCGGGTTCGTATCCGGGTTCGCCACGATTCTTTCTACGGTTTTACTCTCCATACCCATATTGTAGGTTTCCCCAGACTGGTAGACATCTTTGTGAATCAGGAATTTCGCACATAGAATAAAATAACAGTGGTTATAAAAAATAATGGTTACGTTTATTTAAATTAAAGTACTAGCTATATACATGGAAATGGAAGTGTCAAGTTTAAATAATTACACAATAATTATTCACTTTTCTGAGTGATTCTTTCTGACGATTGTACCTGGTTACATTTCAGAAACAATGATATTGCAAACTCATCTTAGGAGAAATATATTACATGTAAAATATCATTAATAACAGTATGGACATTGTCGTATCTGTCACATATTGACATGAATATAGACTAGATACGATTCATATCGGATATGTACCTCAAGAGTAGTACTACAAAATATCAATCTTATCTATCACAGATATGCAGTTGTATGAAACATTATATATACATTCAAACTTGATATATCACAGACTTCAGCTTATCGCACATAAACATAGAGAGGTCTCCTGTATTCATTCTGACAATGTATATATCACACAAAAAACAGCTCTATATATAGTATGACCAGAAATTATTGAGAATTTTAGGAATATGTTTAAGTGGATTTCTAGTATAAACAACCTTGACCGGCTATCAAGTGTTTGCATTCATACAAGAGAGACAACTCCGTTAATCCTTTTTCATTAGTTTGTGAAGAGTTATCCCCCTTTGTTTACTTGCTAGCAGACGACATTTTCAGTGATCCTCAGTATGGATGATTTAGAGAAGAGGAAGTTGATTTTAGAGTATTATAACAAGGACATCAGATCAGCTAAAGTGATTTCAAGTAGAACAGGCATCCCTTTGTCCACTGTTTATCGTGTTTTTGAAAAATATTGCAAATGGATATGGCATTGAGCACCAGGAAGGTTTGGGGACTTATGAAGGAAAGTGTCAATCAGAAAAATCTGACAAATATTGCTGAAATGAAAGAAGAAGTGGTTCGATATTGGGACAGCATGGACCACGACTTTCTAACTTCTTTGATCAGTTTAGTATGCCCCGCCGCATTGAAGCCTGCATTGCTGCCCATGGCGACTTGACAAAATACTAACTGTTCACCTGTCTTTGAATCTAGAGTTATGTTCTGCTAATATTCACATTAATACGTGAGTAATGAGTGAAAAGAAAATTACAATCTTTTAATTCTCAATAATTTCTGGTTGTACTGTACATATTGTTTGATTCTCACATTACCAGAATGCATTCATATAACATTTTACCATCTGGTACATTTACCATCTCAAGTCAAACTTCTTACTACACTACAGATGAATCCCTGCAAAATTCCTGCATAAATAGGGTTATAATTCATTTGTAGTGAGAATGCATGATCGTAGATTCAACATCTAAACGAATATTATCAAGAACGAAGTCATTTCAATAAGCATAAGACAGATCGCTAGCGATATCATCACAAATTTGCATAAAAGGCTGTTATGTAACGGATAGATTGGCTGCTGAACTGCCAACTTGCAGGATAGGGGGGTGGGGTAGAGGTAGGGGTGGGTTTAGTAGTTGTGGGGGTCGGGGATTTGAGGTACATATGTTTGTACTACATCAAACATGATTAAACTGACTTTGAAGGTTGTCATATGCAGCAGACACAATGTCAATTACACAGGCATGTATTACTATCTGCAAGTCAACCTATGCCACGTATTCGTCCAGTGATACATCTGAGAGTTTGTAATGTAATATACATTAGATCCAAAACTTCACACAGTTGGGATAATGATTCACAGCTTGTCAACAGCTCTGCTGAACTTTTTGAGGTCATCAAAGGGCAGCTGAAGATTAGTCAGCAGATAGTTGAAGTAAAACTCGGGTGCCTGAACGGATAAAAGGTATAGGTTATTTTCCGATCAGAGCCCAGTATTGAAGCGAATTCCCTGAGGTGAATGGGAATTTCGGAATCAAATGATAAAGTTTGTCATATAATCTCAGTGCTGGTACCAGACACAACATGAATTTGGAACAACATGTAACTTCTCTTGTGGAACGAGACATTCAAAGCATTAATTATCTTACATCAGTCACCATCATCTGAAACGTTATCATATTAACACCTCCTAATCATACAATGTAATTATGGGAAAAAATAATGTTCATTTGATATTGTTCTGTTGTTCGTGTTTTTGTAGAAGTATATGGCAGAAGAGTTTGTTTGTTTGTTTGTTTGTTTGTTTGTTGTTAAACGGCGCTCTCGGCAATATTCCAACCATATGACGGCGGTGTGTAAAAATCGAGTTTGTACCAGACAATCCTTCGACAAGCATGGATTGCTAAAGATCACTTTTAACCCTGATTTACATGAGTAAGGACTCATATCATGGTGCCTGGAACCAAACTTTGGAGCGAACTAAATTCGAACTAAATTGGAAATACGGCGTTTCGACATCCCATATATTTAGTAATAGATTGCAACAAGCCTTCTAGCTTACCCTGTGAGATACTTCACGCAGAAACAATAGATCATCCCCAGTCATTTTACGTAGCAACGAGTCACTGAAACAAATGAAAATCAGTTCTGGTTTGATTCATTCAACTTAATTGAGTGATTACCCTCTCCTGTTATTTTTTGGGGGTTGACGTACTCCAAGAACATATATTTAACCTACATTTACAATCCCAAACAATGAATATACTGAATAAGAGTGCGTGAGCACGCCGTAGGTACGGCACATACTATGATATTCTTCAGACAAGTAAATACCAAGGATATATGTACTTTGTTAATCCTGTCTTCGTGAGCCAATTCTGGACATCCTTCACTGACCAGTCAGCAAGTGACCGACCTCTTGCAGCGGCAAGGGGAGCTGCTTTCACAACGGGAACTATCTTAGTCTCACCCTGAAGATAAAGCAACAACTGTCTGTGTTATACAATATCACACATAGACTATTCGTAATTAATATCAAGTGTCATGAAAGAATCAACTTTTTGTCAATCAGACACAGAGTATCATCACATTTACTTTTAGGACTAGGAAGAACATTCAATGTAAGAATATGCATTCCAATAACCGACTTGATACTTGACCTAAGAAATCTATGACCTAAGTGCAGCGCCTGCTTGAAGGATAGTCCTCGCTGACTTCTCACGTGTACATTTTGTGCTTTCTATAATGTTTACCTATCAATACACCATCATATTTATGCAATAGTCATCATTACGTCATAACCTACATCAATTTCATCAGTGAGCGGCTGAGTCTTCCCATGTTCACCAAGCTCCTTCGCAAGATCTGCCATTTTCTGATCATACGGGTATTTTCCGCTGAAGTCGAAGAAGAGTTTTGTCCCTTTAATCATACCCAACCACCCGTCTGGTTTATACGCCCTCTGCATCAGAAGAGGGACAATCTTCTTCTCCAACGAGAAAGCATACTCAGCCTCTGATATAAAACATGATAAAGATTAATTTTACTCACCATTACATGTAGTCAAAATTGCAACATTCAAAATTATCTAGACCAAACAATGGATTCCTGAAATTGTTGACTCACCTGACCTGCAGTTCTGACTCAGCTTGTACCTCTCCGACATACACACCAACACCACAGAAGCGTTCTGAACGGCCTCCGCCATCGCCTGCAGCGTGGACCCCTCCATGTGATCAACATCCATCCAGATCTTGTACCCTTTCTGGCGCAGTGATTCCTTGATCTATTTTTGAAAAATAATTGCAATATCAATGACATTATACTGAATAATATTTTGTTATCAATTCCGAAAACCAATGGAAAGACACACCTCCTTGTGGTCAATCTACTCGTCACTGATCAACATATAACCTTTTAATGATATGTTTGATCAATTCAGAAAACAAAATATAAAATACCTTCAGCACCAGCTTCTGGTCTGTCCACTGGTAACTGATCATCACATGACCTCCATATGACCCACTCCTCCCTTCGTGACCCCCTGTTAATGCTGAAAAAATGTTTATGTTTCACCCTCAAACTTTACTTCATTGTTCATACCACATATCAAAACACATAGGTGATACTGTTTACGATACTCTATAATTGTAGGATTTCAACCTAAAGTATGCTATTTAAAAAGTACATCACTTGGTATTGGATACCATGATATTTAAAAGGACAAATATTCGTAACAGATAAATAAAACACACACTATAAGAAAACCAATTAAGAAAAACGTAAAAATAGTTGTAAACATTAAAATTATATACATGAATAAAGTCTAACAAAAATTATGACACAACATAAATAGACAGAAAATAACATATTCAGTGAGATGGAAAACAGTATTTGGCAAATTTAGAGCTTTTCCCAAAAATTAATAAAAACCCCGCTAAGAATTGGGTTACAATTGATATTCAGCAACCCCTACTTGACGCAGGAGATTATATACAAAATCGGACATTCAGGTTCACAGCATAATTATCATGATAAGTGTTCCGTTACTTTGTCTAACGTTTAAGTTACTAAGGCTAATGGTAATATGGTTCGTTGTTACGTACTTGTATTATTGTTTTCCTCCATAGCTAGCACCCACAATGCTCCAGCTGCAGCTTTAGAAACGCCGGTACGAGAGGATGACTTGAGTTCCTGAAGTAGCTGTTGCAACTCTTTATTTTCCTGAAAGAATGGTACTAAACTAAGTATATCACACTATATATATGTGTCTCTACGATGATGTGGTTGCCATTATACATCGGTTTCACCTCTGACAGGATTCTATTTGTAGTTCTTCCATTTACACAGACTACAAAGTATAGAGGGCATGTCACGCAAGTGTCTTGTCAGTACAATACATGGCCAAACATACGGCTGACGATTTTCCGCAGTGGGGAATCCTTCCTTCTTTTATACTAATGACGGACGTGTAGTAATAAATATTAAAAATATGTTTATGGCCAGAAGAAACAACGCATCGCAATGATTATGTAATCCACTTAAAAAATATAATATATTTAGCTCTGAACCATAAGAAATGAAAGTGGCAAATGAAGCATTTACTCGAATCTCAAAAACCAAACAATCCACTACCAAGGAACTTACATTGAATATTTCCTTGTTAGTTTTATCAAAAGACAGTTCCCATATACATTTCACGGCATACTCTTTCTCTTCGTCCGATCCAAATTTCATAATCTCTGTAAGTATAGGAACGGCTCCCTTTTCCCGCAGGACCTTCTTGTTGGTGTCATTTTTGGCTAAACCGGTCATCCCATCCACTATCTCCTCCACACTGAAACCAATATAGCGGTGTTCCTCATCCGCCCATGCTTCCTTCAGTATATCGAACAGTTGATCAATCACGGTTTTGTCAGCCAGAAGATGTTCACTTTCTGTTTCGTCCACGATGTTGGCAAGAGTAAACAGAGTCTGCAGCTTACCCTCTGGAACAATCGACGTAAGTCATGACTCTCAAGGGTCCGCATCGTTATTAATACTATCAACATAATTAGTGTCACCATGAACATCACATTGTGTTAACTGGAATATAACTTATCTATTATACAAAAGACGTTGGACATGTACAACAGTTAATAAGCAATTGAAAGATGAACAATCCTATAGACGAGTGTAAATCAGTATCTGTTGTTGGTGTTAGTCGAATAGGATTTCTCTATAATTATCACAATCTCGCTTCTTGAGGTATTCTCATTATTAACATTGAACACATACTTTTGTATGAATCTACCCATGTGAATGCTCATTCATTTTTATGTAATGTAAATAATTGATTGTTAAGCAAAGAGAAAGGCAGTCGATCCATGTTTGGCCAACATGATTACGTTCCTGTGAGCTGACCATCCAGTTCAGATCCATTCTTTAATCACGATTTAAACCCTGACCGGAAGCAATTATCAACTGCTGTGTAGGTAATATTATAGTCCGTTTGGCTCAGAAGCGGACAGATGAATTGCAATCTAACTTGAAAACTAATAAACATATAATACTCAACGAAACGCTGATCATAATAAAAACATCAAACCAACTCTATGATTTTTTGTGCAAAATCTATGTCCTAACAATAAACAAGTTGTTTAGCAAACTATCATAAAATATTTACACAGTTCACTATTTGTTACGAGGGAGGAGTAAAAAGAGAGGAACAATATTCACAATATTGTTCATCGTTCACAATGAGTGGTATCCGATGTCCACTGGAATTCTCAAAAGCTATTTCTTCAAGAACATGTTAGCAAACAGATGTGTAATATTTACCATCTGACCTGCACTTGAGATACGGCAGCAGGACGGAAACTGTCCCGAGTTCCCGAAGATGTTGTCTGGTCGCAGGGTTCCTTGAGCAGTTCTGGAGGATGGAAATGGCCGCTTCAAATGTGTTGTCAAGCTCCTGCAACATACATTGACAAAATGTTCACGGTTCCGTCTAACTGACGTTGTGTTCATCTTCCATCTGTTCAGTTTTAATCAGTATTAAGTCTTAATTTCCGGTTTGTTTCTGTCAACCCATGCTTGTGTTACGAAGCGACGTGATGGACCTTGTGGTCAGGAGTGGTGCCGTTGTTGACTCCCGACGGTAAGGGGCGTTCCCTCAAATAACATTCACTGTTTTGTCTGGTCGAGACTCGATTATTAATAGTCAAGTCAATCTTCATAATATTCTCGGGGGATATTTTATATAACATCAGTTTAGTATTTCAAATAAAAAAAATTAAGCACAAGGCTCGTGCCCAATATGAATTTGTCATTTGATTGTGTACATGTTCCTTTATATCCTGAATGGACTGAATGGTCGTTTTATAGTTTAATGTGTGGGTGTATTCCTGGGACGGATCCAGGATTTTGGAGAAGGTGTGTGTGTGTGTGTGTGTGTGTGTGTGCGTGCGTGCGTGCGTGCGTGCGTGCGTGCGTGTGTGCGTGCGTGCGTGTGTGTGAAGGGGCGAGGGTGTATTTATGTAAAATGAGATATCTATTGATGTAGATATGTGGATAATAACATAGATCTAGGTAGGTAGGTAGGTAGGTAGGTAGGTAGGTAGGTAGGTAGGTAGGTAGGTAGGTAGGTAGGTAGGTAGGTAGGTAGGTAGGTAGGTAGGTAGGTAGGTAGGTAGGTAGGTAGGTAGGTAGGTAGATAGATAGATATTATAATTTTTTGAAATTCACAATCATTACATGTGCGTAAATATCTCACTGACCTGGTCATCATCGGCGGCATCTTCCACATCCATCTGTTTTAAATCTTCCACGAAATATTTCAGCATCCCAGCTTTGCTCACCTTTTCAGCAAAACTGAGACTACCATCCGTATTGTTCCACACAATCATTCGGATCATGGATAACTTTTGAGCAACAAGAAGCTGCGTCGCGTCTTCAAAGTCCATCTTTATAGGCCACATACATGTAAACCCCATTGATTTCAGCAGTGTGTCAAATACTGCATTCAACACTTCAGCAGTGTCAGATACCGCTAAGTATTCACCGAGCTTACGACGGTCCGTATCAGCGTAGTCCTCGAAGCCCAGAGATGTCCAGTTGTAGATCCTTGAATATTTCCCAGTCTTCGTGAAAGCATCAGCTTTAAGTTCTTGAATAAGAGTGTCAATTTCGTCAAATTCCGAATTTAAATGTGAAGCATCTTCCCGCAGTTTCTTCATTTCAGCCTCCGTATCCACGCGAGAAGGTACAGAGTTTACTGTTGGTTTCTGAGTGATATCAGTTCCTCCTCGATCAGACTGTGTTTTAGATAGGTTATTCACCGGTTGATTACAAGTATCGCCTGGGCTAGAATTTGCTGCATCAGCAGTTTTGCGAGGAGGATGCCTCTGCATGCTGCTTGTACTGCCCATCTGATTATCTGAAACAATCAGGAATCTGTAGTGCGAATTGAACGTTCTATATTTGGTTAAACATGTAACGAACGGTGGTAGCTTAGTGGTTACAGCGTTCGCTCGTCGCACCGTAGGCAAAAGTTCTATTCCTTACTTATTTGGTTATACTGGGTGGTGGTAGCCAAGTGGTTATAGACAAGGGTTCGATTCCTCATATGAGAATAACAACACTTGGTACAGCTGGGATATTGTTCAAAGCGACGTAAACATTATTGATTTGCTGAATGGCATGTCGACCACGGGGACGCCTATCACGTATGGAGGGTATTATACGAGCGCTTCAATCAATGTCTCTCGTGTAATTTGCCAGATTTGTTTCACTGATCGTTAAAGGCCTCTCGGTAATATCGGTTTCATAATCTTCAGATAAAACCGGAGACTTGCATAACTGCATTAATGTCCACATATTTCAGTTCTGGATAATGACACAAGAACGCATGCAATGCATGCTTCTAATCAATATGTTGTCATATCGATTTTTACAATGGAACATTTCTCCTTGATTTGCCGTTGTACAAGATATGTGTTAAACTGCTTGGCTTATTCAATCTGCTACAATCGATCTCAAACGAAAATTGTTTATCCCCCGCTGTTATAGCATTGCACCACAATATCTCAGCATGTCATCCGACATTTAAACAACAGCCAAATCACAGCTTCACCGCGGTAACAAGATCTCTCTCCACTTACCTAATAAACTATGGGTCCACGCTTACATATTCGATGTGATTTCAGAGATTATGTAGGTCAAACATGGCCGACTGCATGCTTTTCCCCCAACACACCGCTATCAAGATCCGAAAGAAGTGTTGTTATTTGTCATCCTCACCATGGCAACGAGTACACAAAGCTCTGACAGCGAACCGTCAGGGGTGAGAGCACACGAACTCGAGTAAAGATCAGACTTAAGCTATTCATAGTGTTTGTTTATGTGTGCGTGTGTGTGGTTAGTCTGAATGACATAGTTGTACTCACTATAACTCATATAGCTGGTATTTCATTCACGCCGCTTTTTTCCTTATCTTATGAAGTGTTAAGTTTTTCTAACTCCTATCGGTGTTTTTCTTTTTCTATATTTGATACCACACGGCCGTATTCATCATTGGACAGATTTGGGGACGATATCAATTGATCTACTGGCATAATGAATTCGTCAACTAAGGGGGCGGTGGGGCAGCCATCCTGGTGGTTAAAACGTTAACTCAAGACCTGGGTTCGATTCCCCCACATGGGTAGAATGTGTGAAGCCCATGGTGTCACCCGCCGTGGTATTGCGGGAGTATTGTCATACTGGCATATCATCCCCCTTTACATATCCAAGTACCTTGCGCCTACTCATCATCGACATGTTTTTCGATGTCGTTTCACGATTATTTGAAACTTTACTATGATGATGTGGGGCGGTGGGGTAGCCTAGTGGTTAAAGCGTTCGCTCGTCACGCCGAATACCTGGGTTCGAACCCCCCACATGGGTACAATGTGTGAAGCTCATTTCAGGTGTCCCCCGCTGTGATATTGCTGGAATATTGCTAAAAGCGGCGTAAAACTAAACTCACTCACTACTGTGATGATGTTGGTGTAGTAGGGACGTTGATTGGTCGCGTCCATTTTCTTGTAACAGTAATAGACCCGACAGCAGTGTTCACGAAATCGAAGGGGGGCATAGGTGGCCTAATCCTCTGAAACCTAAATTCGTTGTGCAGAGTTGCCCCCCTTGGGAACGCCAGAATCCTGTCATCGCGGGTCCGAATCCAGGTTGGCCGCGATTTTTTCTATGCTGTTTACTAACCATAGGTTTCACTAGAGTGGAAAACGCCTGCGAAGGAAATCACTTCGGGATTATTTCCCACATTTAGCATATATACAGTCACTGTGGTAGATAATGGAAACAGCTGCGTTCAACATAGGTCACTCAGTCTCAATGTCTGCATGTTAGGAAACCTGATTCAAAGACATTTAAAACATCCGGATACCTACACTCTCTCTTTGATCATTCTTTTATCTGTACATCTGTATGAGACACAAAACCGAGTATAGGGGTGCATGCATATGTCCGATCTCATATTCATTCTGTGCTGACCAGTATACAGTGTACGTCAGTCATTGAAGCATTTCAATACAGTCTGAACGTATGAAAAGCATAACATTGGTTTTAACACTCTGACAAAAGAAATAAATATATCCAGGCCTGAGGTGAGTGAAAATGAAACAAACAAGACCTATTTTGTCGATGGTGATGTATCAGATATGGGTTCCATTGTCGGACCTCCCGTTCCCAGTGCACAGACTAGCTACGTCAACGACCTGACCAAATGGAACACACGTGTTTGTATTTGTACAAGGTGCATTGTGGGGCGGTGGAGTAGCCGATTGGGTAAAGCGCCCGCTTGTCAAGCCGAAGTACCCGGGTTCGATTCCCTACATGGGTAGAAAAATCCATTTCTGGAGTATCCCGATGTGATATTGCTGCAATACTGCTAAAAGTGGTGTAAAACCATGCTCACCCACTCACTCACTCACTAGGTGCATTGTATATGCGCATATGGAATGATGTTATATGAGCCTATATGTAAATTGTATTTATATACATGTGTGTGTGTGTGTGTGTGTGTGTGTGTGTGTGTGTGTGTGTGTGTGTGTGTGTGTGTGTGTGTGTGTGTGTGTGTGTGTGTGTGTGTGTGTGTGTGTGTGTGTGTGTGATATTGTGACATCATTTCCGGTTACAAATGTGATATACATATTCAATGGATCTAGCGAACATTTCACGAACAAGACCATATGAAATGATGACATTAACTGATAATTTGCTGGAACACATAGAGACGTCGGTCACATGGACGGTTAAACAACATAACTGAGCGTTTAACACAGCCTCTACAAATTCGTTAAAGTATAAGTAGCGTTTCCCAAAATCATTGGGTTTTTTTCACGTCTTGTGTGTAATTACTAAACGAATTAGCACACAGAATACATAATAGTGGTTATAAAAATATAGGTTAGCTTTATTTGAATTAAAGTACCTTCTATATACAAGGAAACGTCAACTTCAAATAATTACACAATATTCACCTTTCTGAGTTACTGTTTCTGATGATTGTACCTGGTTACATTGCAGAAACAATGATCTAGCAAACTCCAATTTTAACTTAGGGCTGCCTCACCTTAGAAGAAATATATTAAATGTAAAATATCATTAATAACAGTATGTACATTATCGTATCTGTCACATATTGACATGTAATAGATATAGACTAGACATGACATGAGTTTTGTATGTTTCACATTACAACGACGCATGTAATTCAATATCGGATTCAATATGCACATCGAGCAGTACTACAAAATATCAGTTTTATCTATCACAGATATGCAGTTTTGTGAAACATTACATAAACATTCAAAAGATATCACAGATTTCAGCTTATCGCAAATAATCATAGAGAGTTCATACGTACCCATTCTGACAATGTATATTTCACAAACAAAACCACAGAAAAAGGCCATATACACACTGGTTTTATCTTACATTACCAGAGTGCATACAGAACGTATAGCATTATATTGCATCTGGTACCTTTACCAGTTAATGTAAAACTTCTTACTTCAATTCAGAAGAATCCCTGCAGAAATATGTTTACTTAATCTGGACTGTAGTGAGTGTGCATGATCGTAGATTCACACGTTTCTGATGTCAACATCTAAACGAATATTATTAAGAACAAAGGCATTAAAATCAGCATTAGAGAGATCTGTAGAGATATCCACACAAACATGCATAGCAAAAGCTCTTAAGAAATTGATAAGTTGGCTGTCAAACCGTCAACCTGCAGGGTAAGGATGGGGGTAGGCGTGAGGTTAGGGGGATGAGTGGGTCGGGTAGGGGTGGGGGGTGGGCGTGAGGCTAGGGGGATGAGTGGGTCGGGTAAGGATGGGGGGTAGGCCTGGGGTTAGGGGTTGAGTGGGTCAGGTAGGTTGGGGGTAGGCGTGAGGTTAGGGGGATGAGTGGGTCGGGTAAGGATGGGGTGGAGCCCTGGGGCTAGGGGGATGAGTGGGTCGGGGGATGAGTGGGTCGGGTAAGGATGAGGGTAGGCGTGAGGCTAGGGGGATGAGTGGGTCGGGTAAGGATGGGGGTAGGCGTGAGGCTAGGGGGATGAGTGGGTCGAATAAGGGTGGCGGTAGGCGTGAGGTGAGGGGGATGAGTGGGTCGGGTAGGGATGGGGGTAGAAGTTGTTGGATTCTAGGTACTAAGGTAGAAATGGTAGGTGTCATATACAGCAGACACAATATCAGTTACATCTGCGAGTATTACTTATTGCAAGTGATCCTATGCCACGTATTCGTCAAATGACATACCAAGGAATTGAGAATTTGTAATGTTATATACATGAGATCCAATACTTCACACAGTTGAGATTATGTTTCACAGTTTGTCAACAGCTCTGCTGAACTTCTTGAGGTCATCGAAGGACAGCTGAAGGTCAGTGCGCAGACAGCTGAAGTAAAACTCGGGTGCCTGAAGGGATAAATGTTACAGGTTATTATCTTTTTCCGATCACAATCCAGTATTGAAGCGAATTCCCTCAGATGAATGGGAATTTCAGAATCAAATGATAAAGTTTTGTCATATCTCGATACAAGTACCAGACACAGCATGCATTTGGAACAGCATTCAACTTCTCTTGTGGAACGAGACATTCAAAGCATTCACTGTCATACATCAACGCCAGCCAGCCTCTGCTATATGAAACGCTATGATATCAACACATCTTAATCATACAACATTATGATATCAGTAATTTTGGAAAATGATCAATTTTAGATTGATGTTATTCTGTTGAATTCGTCATCATGTTCGTGTTTTTGAAGTAAGTAAAAACAGAAGAGTACTGTTTGTTTGTTGTCTAACGCCACACTCAGCAATATTCCAGCCATATGACGGTGGTGTGTAAATAATCGAGTCTGCACCAGGCAATCCAATGACAAACCGCATGAGCATCCATCTACGTAAATGGGTTACAATGGCATGTGTCAACCAAGTGTGACCTGACCAACCGATCCCATTAATTGCCTCTTTCGACAAGCATGGGTTACTGAAGATCGATTTTAACCCGAATCCTGACGGGTAAGGTAATACTATCATATCGTGGTGATTGGGACAAAACGTTGAGACAAGGTAAATTCCAGATGAAATGGAAATACGAAGTTCCACCATCACGTATGGAACAAACCTTCTAGCTTACCCTGTGAGATAATTCACGCAGAAACAATAGATCATCCCCAGTCAGTTTGCGTAGCAACGAGTCATTGAAACAAATGAAAATCAGTTCTGGTTTGATTCATTTAGCTTGATTCAGTGATTACTCTCTCTTGTCATATTTGGGGTTGTACTTCACCAACATACATTTGACCGACATTTACCATCCCGAACTATGGATATACTGAATCTGATTGAGTGAGGTCGCCGTAGGTACGGCACATACTGTGGCAATCTTCAGACAAGTAAATACCAAGGATATATGTACTTTGTTAATCCTGTCTTCGTGAGCCAATTCTGGACATCCTTCACTGACCAGTCAGCAAGTGACCGACCTGTTGCAGCGGCAAGGGAGCTGCTTTCACATTAACGGAACTATCTTCATCTCACCCCTGAAGATAAAAAACAACTTTATCCAACTGTCATACAATATAAAACATAATATCGTGCATTGACAAGTCGTAATTAATAATACGTGTCGTGAATGAATCAACGCATTGTTAATCAGACACAGAGTATCATCATATTAACCATTAGCACTTAGAAGTACATTTAGTGTAAGAATGTGTATTTCAATAAATGGTGTGCTGCTTACTTATCCTCAAGTGCAGGCCTGGATGGAGCATATCCATCATTGGCTTTTCATATGTACATTTTTTCTGTTTTCTATAATGTTTACCTATCAATACACCATTATATTCACACAATAGTCACCATTACGTCATAACCTACATCAATTTCATCAGTGAGCTGCTGAGTCTTCCCATGTTCACCAAGCTCCTTCACAAGATCAGTTAATTTCTGATCAAACGGGTATTTTCCGCTGAAGTCGAAGAAGAGTTTTGTCCCTTTAATCATACCCAACCATCCGTCTGGTTTATATGCCCTCTGCATCAGAAGAGGGACAATCTTCTTCTCCAACGAGAAAGCATACTCAGCCTCTGATATAAAACATGATAAAGATTAATTTTACTCACCATTACATGTAGTCAAAATTGCAACATTCAAACTTATCTAGACCAAATAATGGATTCCTGAAATTGTTGACTCACCTGACCTGCAGTTCTGACTCAGCTTGTACCTCTCCGACATACACACCAACACCACAGAAGCGTTCTGAACGGCCTCCGCCATCGTCTGCAGTGTGGACCCCTCCATGTGATCAACATCCATCCAGATCCTGTACCCTTTCTGGCGCAGTGATTCCTTGATCTATTTTTGAAAATTAATCGCAATGTAAATGACAATATACTGAATAATATTATACTATCAATTCCGAAAACCAATCTTAAGACACCTCCCGCGCCAACTTCTGGTCAATCTACTCGTCACTGATCATCATATTATACCTTACTAATTAAATATTTGATCAATTAAAACAACAAATGTTAAAATACCTTCAGCACCAGCTTCTGGTCCGCCCACTGGTAACTGATCATCGCATGACCTCCATATGACCTACTCCTCCCTTCACGGCCCCCTCTTAAAGCTGAAAGAATATGTATATGTTTCAACCTCGTTATGTATTTCAGTGTTCATACCTCACGTCAAACATATATGTGATATTGCATATGACCCGCTATAACTGTAGGGTTTCGATTTCAATTTTGCTATTGAAAAAGGGCATTATTTGATATGAATACTTTTATGATATTTATAAAGACAGATACGTGTAAAAAAAATAACTAAATCACACACTGTATGAAAAACAATTCATTATATCGTAGAAATAGGTGAAAACAATAAACTTGTATAAGTAAAGAAATAACGTTTAACACAATTTATGACATTGCATAATTAAGCGGAAAATGGGACATACAGTGAGAAAACAGGACTAGAATAAACGGACAAAATATAGAAACAAACACGATTTACTGGTGAGAAAAGGACAGAATATTATACGAGATCCTTGGGAAAATGTAGCTATCAAACTACGGCTTTTCCCCAAATATAGAATTGGGTTACAACGGGTCTTCAACAACCAGTACTGATGGGTGCTTCGTGAGGTTATTAACTGGATCGGGATATCATAGGTCCACACAAGCTTGAAGCGGTCAATGCACAATTATTACCCTGATAAGTGTTTTGTTACTTTGGCTAACGTACAAGCTACTAGGGCTAATGGTAAGGACCATGGTTAGTCTTGACGTACTTGATTTGCTGCTTCCTTCCATAGTTAACACCCACAATGCTCCAGCTGCAGCTTTAGAAACGTCTTTAGAGAGATGACTTGAGTTCCTGGAAGCAGCTGCTGCAGCTCTTTATTTTCCTAGAAAGAATCATCCAGGACTAATTATAAGTACATCATCCTATATGTATGTTTCTACGATGATGCGGTCGCTTTATTATACATCTCTCTGACAGGATTCTATTTGTATTAGTTCCATATACAAGAGGGAACATCATACAAGTGTCTTGCCAGTACTATAACAGGTCAAACATACGACTGACATTTGTTTCCGTAATGGGAAACTTTATAAATGCAATTTTATCCAAATCAAAGAACCTATGGACATCATTGGTCTAATCCACTTGAGAAAAAATCATATGTGAAAACATGACGGTAATACCTTGTGAGAATTTTTACAGAGGTACAAGAGTACAACCATACCTCTGACAGGATTCTATTGTAGTTCTTCCATTTACACAGACTACAGAGGTATAGAGGGCATCATGTCACAAGTGTCTTGTCAGTACAATACCTATAATGACCAAACATACGGCTGACAATTTTCCGCAGTGGGAATCCTTCCTTCTTTCATACTAATGGCGTACGTGTATTAATAAATATTTAAAAGAATATTGTTATGGCCAGAAGAAACAAGCGTATCTCAATGATTATACTTAATCCACTTAAAAATATAATATATTTAGTTCTGAACCATGAGAAATGAAAGTGGCAAATTAAAGCTTTTACTCGAATCTCAAAACCAAACAATCCACTTCAAGGAACTTACTTTGAACATTTCCTTATTGGTTTTATCAAAGACAGTTCCATATACATTTCACGGCATACTCTTTCTCTTCGTCCGATCCAAATTTCATAATCTCTGTAAAGAGGCCGGAACGGCTCCCTTTTCCCACAGGACCTTCTTGTTGGTGTCATTTTTGGCTAGACCGGTCATCCATCCACTATCTCAACAACTCTGTATCCAATATAGCGGTGATCCTCATTCGCCAATGCTTCCTTCAGTATGTCGAACAGCAGGTCAAACACGGTGTCGTCAGCCTGAAGAAGTTCATTTTCTATTTCGTCCACGATGTTGCTTAGGGTAAGCAGAAGAGTCTGCAGCACCCTCTGGAACAATCGACGTAAGTCGCATGACTCTCAAAGGGTCCCGCATCGTTATTAATACTATCAACATAATTAGTGTCACCATAGACATCACATTGTGTTAACTGGAATATAACTTATCTATTATACAAGACGTTGGACATACAGCAACCGGTTAATAAGCAATTGAAAAGATGAACAATCCTATAGACGAGTGTAAATCGGTATCTGTTGTTGAGGTTGTTAGTCGAATAGGATTTACTCTATAATTATCACAATCGCTTCTTGGGGTATTCTCATTATTAACATTGAACACATACTTTTGTATGAATCTACCCAATATGGAATGCTCATTCATTTTTATGTAATGTAAATAATTGATTGTTAAGCAAAGAGAAAGAACAGCCTACCCTCTGAAACAATCCACGCAAGTCATGACTTTGTAGTGTTCGCATTATTACTACTCTCTACATAATCAGTTTCCACGTGAACATCGCATTCTGCTAACTCAAATATAACATCTATTATACAAAGAAAAAGACATTGGACATGTACAACAGTTAATAAGCAATTGAAAGATGAACAATCCTATAGACGAGTGCGAAGAGATTTCATCAGAGTCTGTTGTTGGTGTTAGTCGAATAGGATTTCTCTATAATTATCACAATCTCGCTTCTCGAGCAGTAAACGTATTCTCCCTTATTAACATTGAATACATTTTACTACAAATGTATACACATGAATCGACTCATTCATTCATTTGTAATGAAAATCATACTCATTAAGCAGAGTGAAAGGCGGTGGAGAACCATGTTTGGCCAACAGGTTACATCCCAAACGCTTCTAAAACACGGCAAAGTTAAGATTGCTGAGCTTTGGCGCTGAAGCTGTTTACAGTCACGCAAAGAGATGACGTTTTCAAGAGTGTATTAACTACACGCTATTTTGACAATATTATTTATGGTTCACCATGAGGGTATGTCCACTGAAATTCGCGGCGTTTCTTCCGGAACGTGTTGGCAAACTGATGTGTAATATTTACCGTCCCACGTGCACTTGAGATACGGCAGCAGGATGGAAACTGTCCCAAGTTCCCGAAAATGTTGTCTGGTCGCAGGGTTCCTTTAGCAGTTCTGGAGGATGGAAATCGCGGCCTCAAATGTGTCAACAAGCTCCTGCAACACACCTTGATAAAATGTTCATCGGTACGTCAAAATGATGTGGTGTTCATTTTACATCTGTTCACTTTTTAAACTGATTGAGTATTAAGTCATCCCAAGCATGACAAGGGACGTTCCTACAAATAACATTTCCACTGTTTTTGTCTGGTCCAGAACTCGATTATTTATAGACAAGTCTTCGTAAAACGTGTATTCCCGTCAGATATTATACACAACATCAGCTCAGTGTACCTGCAATTTTGGAAGACCATGGCTCGTATGATTACGTGCATTTACAATTATCTCCTGAATGGACTAAATGAATGTTTGAGAGACTTTTAGTGTGTGAGAACATTTCCGCACGCAGCGATGGGATTATAACTGGACTTCAAAATGTCTATTTGGGCTGCGGATTTATATATCACGGCAATTACGGCGGGATTTTTTGCTATAAGTATGCATGCACAGTGCTTAACTTTAAGTAAGAAGTCCATTCTCTTCACCCAAAGTAGTTTCATTATCACGTGAACGTACAAACCAAACCCGCGATCCCTTCCTGTTGAAAGGGGGGGCGGCTGGGTAACCTAATTGGTACAATGGGTACAATGTGTGAAACCCGCCGTGATATTTCTGGAATATTACTAAAAACGGCCAGCCAATGGCCATTGACACGAGGTGATAGCCTACGTAAGAACAACAATATTTATGGAAAATGAGGGGCATATATATATGCGTAGCTTCTTTGAATGAGACGCTTTCCCATTCATTGAGTGTGTGTAAATATCTCACTGACCTCGTCATCATCTTCATCATCGTCATCAGCGGCGGCCGGCATCTTCCCACGTACATCTGTTTTAAATCTTCCGCAGAAATATTTAAGCATCCAGCTGCTCACTTTTTCAGCAGAAACTGGAGACTACCATCCGTATTGATTTCCACACAATCATTCAGTATCCTGGATAGCACACGGAGCGGCAGGGACCTTGGGTCGTTGTTGAGGGATCGTCTTTTATGGTGCATGGCCAGGTAAGCCGGGTGGGTTGCGGCGGTTGATGGAGTGTTTTGCGTTCAACACTTCAGCAGCGATCGAGATGCCTGCAAAGTAATCGCCCAGCTTGCGACCCGTCAACTATCTGCTGTAGTACTCGAAACTCAGACATTTCCATTTATCGATTTATGAATATTTCCCAGTCTTCGTGGGCATCAGCTTCAAGTTCTTGAATAAAGAGTGTCAATTTCATCAAATTCCGATTCTAAAAGTGGGCATCTTCCCGCCGTTTCTTCTTTTCGGCCTCCGTACCCACGCCAGACTTAGGTTACAGGGTTTACCGATGGCGTCTGAGCGACATATGTTTCTTCCCTGGATCCAGACTGTGTTACGTTCTTCACGTTCTGGTTACGAGGCTGGTTTGGTGTTTCTGGTCTAAATTTGCTGCATCAACGGTTTTGGGAGGAGGCCTCTACATGCTGCAACGTGCTGCCCATCTGATTATCTCTGAAACGATAAAGGAATCTGTGGAGACGAATATAACGCGATCCTGAAGTTTTGGTTATACCTAGTAACTTCCGTTCCTAGTAAACTATAGTACCTAGTAACGAGTGGTTTCAACTTCAGCGTTCTAGCGTTCGCTATTCGCAACGTAATAAGGCCCCATCCACTCCCTTATTCCGGTAATATTACTGGGCGGTGGTAGCCAGGTCATGGCCACCTTTGCACTGTAGGCACGAGTTCGATGCACCTCATTTGAGGGATAAGAACACTTAGTATCGATGGAACATTGTTTCGAAAACAAAGTGAAGGCATTATTGATTTGTTGTTGAATGGGATGTCGGGGACAGGATGCCTATGCGTATCGAGAATATTAATACGAGCGCTTCAATCAATCATCTCTCGCGTAGTATGCTTGTTTTGTGTCACTGATCGTTAAATACCTCTCGGTAATATCGGTTTCCGCTACTCCTCAGATAAAAACCGGAACTTGCATAACAATGGTTAATGTCCACACATTTTCAGTTCTGGACAATGGCACAAGAACGCATTACCAATGCATGCACCTAATCAATATTCAATACCACATCGATTTCTACATTGGAACATTTCTTCTTGATTTGCCGTTATTCAAAGATGTGTGTTAAACTGCGGATAACTACCATAGTTGTGAACATTCAATATGCCACAATCCGATCAAATGACATTTCCTCAAACGAATTGTTTCACCACCCGCTGCTATAAACATTGCATCCAATAATATCAGCATGTCATCTCGAGCATTTATACACGAAATCACACTGGCTACAAAACGGTAACGGGTTCTCTCTACTGACCCTAATGGTTTATGGGTCCTCGCTTACATATTCCCATGTAGGTATGAGAGAGTATGCAGGTCAAACTGTGGCCGACCCATTTTCCCGCCACCACACCGGTATGAAGATCCGAAATAAGTGTTGTTATTAGTCATTTCTCACTGTGGCAACGAGGTGCACAAGCTACTGACAGAGAGAACCGTCAGGGTGAGAGCACACGAACTCGAGAGTAAAGATCGAACTTAAGCTATTCATAGTGTTTGTATATGTGAATGTGTTGTGTTTATTTGATGTTAAATCTGACTGACATTTTTTGTACTTCAATGAGTATTCAATATATGCTCTTCGAGGAGGTGGGGTAGCCAAGTGGTTCCAGCGTTCGCTCGTCACGCTGAAGATCTGGGTTCAGATGCCCCACATGGGTACATTTTGTGAAGCCCATTTCTGGTGTCCCCTGTCGTGATATTGCTGGAATATTGCTAAAAATGACACAAGAAATAAACTCACTCGCTCAATATGCTCGCTATGGAAGGTCTACTGCGCAATGGTATGCGCGCCGTTTTGCTTATCTTATTATTAAGTGTTAAGGTTCTTACCACCATAGCTGTTTAATGTTTTGTTAATATGTCTTACCAGAGGATGTATTTATCGTCCAACAGATTTGGGGAACTTAGGGACGATATTAATTAATCATGTACTGACAATATGAATTCTCTCACTACCAAACGCTGTCGGGTAACCTGGTGGTTAAAGTGTTCACTCGTGACATCGTAGACCGGGATTCGATTCTCTGCATGAGAACTATGTGTGAAACCCCATTTCTTGTGTCCCCCATACGTAGGTATTGCTGGAATGTGTTTCCTGTGGAAGTTGAGTTGGTTAAAGAATGCAGAAAAAGACATCCGTTGATCAAGGAAACACTCCAGCGCCTTTAGGCATGTACTTTGTTGCGTGGATATGTGCGCTGTATATATATCCTTTAAATATCCTAATAATAAGAAAGAAGAATAGAATAACTTTGCACAGTGTTTCATTTGTATCCATGTTTTATTGGTTTCCTGACATACACCTGGTATGCCCCTGCCTGCACTGATATAAACCCCGACGTCTTCCTGCTAGTATTCCAGATTGTTTCAAAACAGTTTCGTATGTAATATCACTACGTTTGCCGTTCCAGATGGCCCGATGTGCCTAGGCTGAAGTTCACCTGGTTAAATGGTGTGAGGATACTGCATTAAGATTTCATCGTACTATAACGTCGATGTTCAGCAACCATTGTGATGGATCTGCAAC